ATCCCCGATGAATCACCACCAGAAGAGTGCGATTTAGCACGAACGGCTTCAAGTAGAATAGAACATCTAGAAACTGTCCAAAAATATGAAAATACAAGTTTCCTGTTTTTGAAATTTGAAAAAAAGCTTTTTGAATTTTTTTCTCAAGATTTAGATTTTTTTTTGTTTTTGAAATCGTCAACTTGTAGAACTAACGATTTTAGTACACAAAAACTAAGCAGACTTTATGAAACGGGAACTTTCTTTTAAAAAAGCACCTTACTAAAAATAGATGAATTTTCAAAAAAAACCAGAAGCATGCAACAAAAGGCGTGAAAATGAACTTTTCCCTGGGCAGGTATCCTCCGAACTTTTGCCTTCAGGAATTATACGAAACTGTGTGCACCTTTCCTCTCTTCCGACAGACTTCACTATACCGTTTGCACGGAAAAGAGAGGATCAGGAAAAGAAGAAGAGGAAGAGGCGGCAAAAGTTTGGATAAATAAACGCCAGCAAAAAGAGTTTGCTCCGCGGCGGGAACGTGAGAGCGGGAGGAGCATGAGCACTGTGTTTGAAAGTTTTAAAGAAAGTGAGAAATAATATAAAACGTGTAGGAGACGCAGACAGTGTAGAAATTTCGAAATGGGAACGGTAGAATTGGAAGATCGGGAAATGAGCGGAATAAGGGGATCGATGGAGTAATATTATATTTCAATTTTATCAGTTGGAAATATGATGTTTTTGAAATAGTTATTTTTTAAACATGAAATTGGTTTTTAATTTTGAGGTAATGATTACTATAATTTGGAAACTAATTCGATCCTTTTTATCTGAAAATTGGAAAAAAACTAGTTCAAAACTAATTGGCATAAATCGCCAGAAAAAGACAATCCATATCTTCAATTTTCATTTTTTTTCAAAAAATTGCTGTTCCTGAATTGTATTTTATTAGTTACGTCGATTTTACTACTTAACGCATTCCTTAAAAAACTAAAAATTCATGAAACAGTAACTTTTTAGATACCGTATTTCCTCTAATAGAGGCCCATGGGCTTCTATTTTTCAACCTTCTTCTGGGGGTGGACGAATTTTAGAGAAAACGCTCAAATTAGAGGGTTTTCGGTTTTCGACTGAACTGTAATAGTTATAAAACGACAAGGATTAACAGACAGTATCAGAAAAATAAACGGAAACTAGTATGGATACCCTAACCGAAAATATTGTCGAATTAAAAAAAGTGGGACCTGGAAAATTTCGCGGGCGGCTTCCCGGGCCATTTTCGAGGCCTTGCCTCAAAATTACTACAGTAGTAAACGAAACTTATTTCTGTGAATTTAGTGGGATTTTCTGAACAAAATTTAGATTACTTGGTAGGAAAATGCTCGCTAGCATCTCTAGAATCTGTTTTTCATCGAAAAACCAAACTTTATTGCGAAAGCAGCTCGAACGAGCCAAAAGTCTGAAATATTACGTTTTTGCCGCACTTTTTCGTAGATCAAAAAAAGCGACGCCTTTCAAATTCTCAGGTCCCACTTTTTTTAATTCGACAATAAAAATGCACAGCCCGGGTAGGCTTCTATTAGAGGAAATACGGTATTCCCAACTTGAAAAAATCTCGAACCTGTTTTTTTTAATTTCATAAAATGCGACCAGAAACTTAATTGGTGTTTGCTTCATCTCATGATTTTTGGGTTTCATGAGTTTAGATATCCTGTGACTTAGATCGAGGAAACAGAATGATTCATGGATTGTGAGGATAAAGAATTTGAAAAATCATGATAAGTTATGAGGATTTCAGTAATTCTGATTTAGCCATGCTGTGAAAAGTTCCAAAAGAAAGAATATGTCCCAAGAGAAAAACAACAAAAAATACAGTTTCAAAAAAGTTTCATCCATCCATAAAGTGTGTTAAAAAAATTGTTTGTAAATGACACGATTTTTCAAATTCATCACCTATGTATTATTTTTGTAAAATCCATTACTGAACGTCTCAAGGACAATAAACTAATTCAGTAAAAGGACATTATGGGAACCTGGGAAAAAAAATCAAGATTGCAGTCCGAAGACATCTGCAGCTTCTGATTTAGTTACTGACAAAACAAAGCACACTATAAATGATTGAACTCTAATAGAACGTCACCTTAACATTTCCATTTGAGCTAATCTATCTTCTAAAAAAAGCTAATTGAAATCGAAGAGCACTAGAAATCTTAGCTAGTCACAATTAAATTTTTCACACAAATTTTAGAATTAGGAAAGAATTGAAACTGCAAAACTTTCGGTATAAGTGATTCCCGAATTATCAAGTTGGTCGGTTTTATGTATATGGTAAATTGGTTATTTGAAACAGGTAATGTTTTTTTTGAACATCCGACACTGTACCAGCGTCAATCGGAATTGTATCCAATCGACTTTATACTTCAAGATTTACTATTTTTGAGACTTATTATATTTCACACTAATCATAATTTCCAGTTACAAACTGATCAATTTTGTCGAAATTTTAGTCTCTTAAAATTTTTTGAAGGGCACAACCTTTCCTCGAAATTCTGTTAACCATCTCTTGGGACTTTGAGCTACGGATATTAATAATTACGCTACGCGGCCAACATATAGGGTGTAAAGACCAATCCCTGTACACTGCCACTGAAAATGCCCACCGACTACAAAATCCCCCGAAATCCATGTTTTATATTTGTGACGTTACTGTTTCAAAATCAACTTATAGTTTGGAGATTCCCGTATTTTGTGGTGACAATATGTATTGATCTACTATTCGAAAAATAGTGAGCACTATCGGCGAGAAAAGCTTTTTGGAAACTCTTTTTGGGATACTGTAAGCTGGAAGACCATGATCATAATTTAGTGAAAACATTCAGCTGGAAACAAGAACTCAGACGTTTTAAAATGAAAAATTTTCACAGTTTCCAGTTTTTCTTGAAACTGGTAACAAGTTTTGTTGCAACTTGTAATATCACAATTGAGTTTTTTGACCAGTTTCCTAAAAATATTACCTTAAAATGTAACATAAAAAAGTCGAGTCCTATTTTTCCCATGATCACATAGAAAATCTTGGGATTCGTGGGAAAAATGGTGATAAGAGAAAAAAGAGCTCATGACAAGAACTACATGTTTTTCATAACTTTATGTGAGAAAATGGAGAATTGATATACTGAAGTTTTGGGGACTTTCATTTTCCTCGAATTCTGAAATTTTAACACAAAACAAAACACTTTGAAGAAATAAATTCCAGTTTCATGAAGTTGATTTCAATAAATTATATAAGAAGTAGCGATTTTCAAAATTTTTAATTCTCGAAGGAATAAACAAAAATGGTCCAAATTTCTGTAATTCGTCACAGAAAATACTAAACTACTGATAAATGTCATAATCGATATGTTTTTGTTCAGAAATACTTTATTTCAACGCAATCATGAAAAATATGGTTTTAATTACATTATTTCTGTTGATTTTCAATTTTGCAAAAAGTTACGTGATTCACAGAAATTGAACATTTCAATTTCTGGGATTTTTCACAGAACTCGAACGGTTCGAGTTCTGGGATTTTGGAAATTCACGTGATTCACAGAACTCGAAGCTTTCAATTTCTGGGGTTCTGGAAAAGCATGGGGGGGGGGGTAGGGATTCAAGAAGGGTCGTGATAAAGCAAAATGAATATTAGGAAACTATCGTTGGACTTGTTGTTTTCCATAAAACGGATCCTTTGAGCTTGAAGATAATTGTTTTCCATGGGAGCTCTAATATTATTACAAAGAATTATTACAGGACTGCTATGAAAACCTGTGACTTTTCAAAAGCTAAGTTTTTTTTCTAAAAATCCATGTGACTCACATGAGAGAAAAAACATAAGAGAATCTAAAACCAACCAAAGTTCATCTAGAAAGAGAAAAAATACTTTAAGAAAGTTTGACACAAAATTGAATAGTACACACATGTGTTTTGTGCCAAAAATCAACTTGGCGGTAGTGTGTCTGTGTGTCAAGTGGTATGTGTACTTGTTTCAAAAAGTAGCGACACACCGATGGACTCGAAATCGACATAATAGAGCACATTTTGAGGGGTCAGTTTAAAAAAGATTCAGAAATTGAAATATTTTATTAGATTCGAAAAACTCGACGATTCAAGAAAGAAGGCAAATTAAAGTGGAATATAAATTAGCCAAAAATGTAGAGAAAGTTATCAATTACGTCATTGAAAGCAATTATCTTATGAAAACCAATAACGATCGAGCAGTTTTGACAAAAGCCGAGCAGATGAAATTTGAGACAATGTGTCATTATGGTCAATCGCCACCAAGCGCAGCTTTGATTTTTACAGCCTAAAAATTGTTTATTTATTTGAAATTTTTGGAGGCAAATGAAAATCATGAACCAGATCCTCAGAATTTTTTGACAAAATAAAATAAGGGTGAAACACGAAATCTCTACTCTGTTTGATTATAGCGGGACCATGAAGAAATAGTGATAACAAGCCCTGAAAAAAGTCGCACTAGTTTAGAAAGGTTTTTGGAAAATGAATCAATTTGGTGAAACATTAAAATTTTCAAAAACATTTTCAAATTGAAAAAAAAATTTCAAGTTTGAGGTCTTAAAAAGTAACCTTCAACTTGTCCAAATTTTTTTGAATATCTCAGTATGGATCAAACAAACGTTGAGCTTTATTTTTGTAGTTGACAAATTTTGTGAAATCGCCTCCAGTTACAGTACCTTACAAAAATATATAATTGTTTATAAAAGAGCGTCAGACGTCGGATGTGACTGCGTAGCTTAGCTGGTAGCAATGACACATCGAATATTTGGCTCAAAAGTTCAACATTTCGAAGGGCTAATCATTTTAACAGATTTCTTTAAAAAAATGACTTTTAGAAGCAAATTTTAGTTCATTTTTTATCACATGATCCATTGACACTATCATTTCCCATTACTTGACAAACCGGTTGTGACATCTTCCGATTTATATCGACATTTTGTTTATTTCACAACATACCAATAATATCCTGCATGAAACTTCCGTTTGGGTAAGTTTTTTGATTTTTTTTCTATTTTAAGTGTTTCAAGTTTTCGTAATAATTTGTGGGCTCATTTTAACTTTAATCAGCTTTCAGCGAAATGAAAAAAAATTCAAGTAAACGCGCTCCATTGAGAACAATATTTAAAAAAATTTTCAGAACCCATCAAAAGCATGGTGAAGGTTGTCAGACGGCATGCAAAAATTTGATCTACATAATTTTGATTTGTTTGATTTGTGGAACAATTGCGTTTGGGTTTTGTATACTTCAAGCGTATTATATTGATGGATGTGGTGGTGAGTTTTTGTGTGGCCGAGAATTTTTGTGAAGTTTTCTAGTCACCCTAAACAACAGAAGATCAAAACGACCGCATTCTGAGGACCTAAAAACATGTGAAACAAAGATACTTTTTTTTCAGACTCCAAAAACTCAACGATCCAGGGGAGAAATCCGATAAAATTGGAATATAAATGGCCGGAAAATGTGGAAAAAATTATCAATGAAGTGATTGATAACAATGACCGTATGACAATGAATGACGATCGTGGAGTTTTGATAAAAGCCGAGTTAATGAAATTTGACACAAGGTATAATAATTATGCCCGACCGTGGCCGACCGCCGCGTCGATTTTTTAGTCTTAACGCTTCAAGAAAATATTGTTATCACAATATTGTCTATTCAATAAAACGTGGGCG